AAGGTCTGAATTTGCACAGGGAAATGGAGATAAAATGCACAAAAGGAAAAGGACAGTGTATATATGAAACTTTCTTTTACATGAACCTAATTATAACCATGAAATAAAGTCTAGAACTGAGATATATAACATAAAAATCATAGAATAACACCAAACTAAAAATAAAAAGACAGAAATTCAAGAAAAAATGGAATAAAGATAACAGAAAACAAAAAATAAAATGGCTATAGAAAATGCTTATATATCAATAGTCACCGTGAATGCAGAACAACTTAACTCACCAATTAAAAGGCACAGAGTAGAGGGTTGAATCAAAACACAAAACCCATCTACATGCTGCTTTCAGGAGACACACGTCAGTTGCAAGGACAAACAAAGATTCAAAGTGATTTGAGGTGGAAAACAATACTCCAAAGAAGTGACTCTAGCTACACTTATATCTAAAAAAAAAGATTTCAAGATAAAAAGGAAAGAAGAGACAAAGATGAACATTTTATAGAGGGAGGAATAATAAATCAAGAAGACACCACTTTTCAATATACATATTAAACACCTAAATATATAAAGCAACTACTAACAAAACTAAAGAAAAATACTGACAAAAACACAATTATAGTGGAGAACTTAAATATCCCATTCACAGCAATGGACAGATCAGTCTAACAAAATAAATAAGGAAATGTTGACATTAAATAACACACTAGAACTGGAGATAATCGAAGAGCTTTTCATCCCAGAAAACCAGATTATATATTCTCCTCTAATGCACATAGAACATTTTCAAGGATAGACCATATGTTGGACACAAAACTAGCCTCAGAAGACTGAAATCATATCACACACATTCTCCAACCACAATGCTTTCAAATTAGAAATATATTGAAAGAAGAAAGTGGGAAAAAAGTAGAAATTGGTGAAGATTAAACAACATGCTGCTGCCCTGGTCAGTGTGGCTCAGTTGCATGGAGCATTGTCCCACATACAGAAAGATCATGGGCTCAATTCCCAGTCAGGGCACATACCTAGGTTGCAGTTTCAATCCCTGATTGGGGCACATACAGAAGGCAATCAATCAATGTTCTCTCTCACATCAATGTACCTCTCTTTCTCTCCCTCTTCCTCTCTACCCCTTCTCTCTAAAATCAATAAGCATATTCTTGGGTAAGGATTAAAGAAAAACACATGCTACTAAATAGGGACTGGGTCAAAGAAGAAATAAAAGATCAAAAGACAAATACAGAAATGTAGAATAACAGTAAGACATAGCAAAATTTGGAGGTTACAGCAAAAGCAGTAATAAGAGGCAAGTTTGTATTGTTACAGGCCTTCCTTAAGAAACAATAAAAATCTCAAATAAACAATGTAACATTTCACTTTGAAGAACTATAAAAAGAAAAAACAAGGCCCAAAATCAGTAGAAGGAAGGAAATATTAAAAATTAGAGTGGACTTAAACAAAATAGAAAACAAAAAGACAATTGAAAAAAATTAATGCAACAAAGAGCTGGTTCTTAAAGATTAATAAAATTGACAAACCTCTGGCTAGACTTACTAATATCAGAATCACTAGACTCAAACAATATCAGAAATAAAAGAGGAAAAGTTACAACAGACACCACAGAAATACAAAGGACTATACCATACTATGAAAGGCTAAATGCTGCCAAATTCAATAACCTAAAGAAATGGACAACTTTGTAGAAATGTATAACCTTCCTAGACTAAATCATGAAGACCTGGGAAATCTAAATAGACCAGTCAACAGAGAGAAAATTAAAACATCTATTAAAGACCCCCCATGAAGCAAAAGTCCAGGACCAGATGGCTTTACTAGTGAATTCTACTAGGCATTGGAAGATTTAATAACTATTCTTCTCAAACTCTTCCAAAAAGCTGAAGCAGCAGCAATACTTTCAAATTCATTTTAGGACATAAAGCCTGGCAAAGGTAACACACAGAAAGAAAATTAAAGACCAATATCTCTGATGAACACAGATGCACAAATCCTAAACAAAATACTATCAGGGGCACAGGATGTTGCAGCATACACAAACTGATCCATGTAATACACATTAACAAAATAAAGGATAAAAATCATATGCTCATATCAACAGATAGTGAAAAAGCAATAGACAAGTTACAACATCCATTCATGATTCACTCAATAAAAGAGTGTATGTATAGAAGGAAAGTACCTCAACATAATGAAGGTCATTAATGACAAACCCTCAGCTAATATTATACTCAATGGTGAAACAATGAAAGCTTTTTCTTTAAGGTCAGGAACAAGACAAGGATGTCCATTCTCATCGCTATTATTCAACATCCTATATAATAAAAGGGTAATATGCAAATTGACCCAGAGGGATGTCTGAGTGCCAGCTTAGGCCCTATCCCCCCAGGGAGCGGGCCTAAACCAGCAGGTGGACATCCTCCGAGGGGTCCCAGACTGCGAGAGGACACAGGCGGGATGAGGGACCCCCCCACCCCGAGTGCACAAATTTTTGTGCACCAGGCCTCTAGTCCTATATAACAGAAGCTTAATATGCTAAGTGTCCGTTCGACCAGTTGGCTGTTCAACCAATCAAAGCGTAATATGCTAATGATATTCTAAGGTCACTTAACCGCTTGCTATGATGTGCACTGACCACCAGAAGGCAGAAGATATGACCGGCTGCTGGCGTCCGGCCAATCGGAACTGAGTAAGAAGGGCCGGACATGCCCTGGAGCCTTCCCATGGTCCCTCTCCAGCTGGCCAACCTCCTGCGTCCCTCCACGGCCCTGATCGTGCACCAGTGGGGTCCCTCGGCCTAGCCTGCGCCCTCTCACAATCCTGGACCCCTCGGGGGACATTGACCTGCTGGTTTCAGCCTGATCCCCACAGGACAAGCTGAGGGACCCCACCAGTGCACAAATCTGTGCACCAGGCCGGATTCAGCCCTATCCCTGCAGGCCAGGCAAAGGGACCCTGGGCCTCTAGTCCTATCTAATAAAAGAGTAATATGCAAATTAACTGTCACTCCGTGACAAAGATGGCGGCGCCCATAGTGGTCAGGGCAGGACGCTGGCGGCGTCACCCCAGCAATGTGAGCCTAGGAGCCAAGCGTGGCCCGCAGGCAGCACCCAGCAGGGCCTGCTTGCCCATCACCAGGGTGTGGAGCAGGCAGGCCCCACACAGAGCAGAGAACCACGAGGAGTGGGCACAAGCTGCCAGTAGGACATCCCCTGAGGGCTCCCAGATTGGAGAGGGTGGAGGTTGGGCTGAGGGACCGCACCCCCACCCCGTGCATGAATTTCATGCACCGGGCCTCTAGTCTATATATATAAAAGCCTAAGCAACTGAACGGCCAGTCAACTGGTCACTATGATGCACACTGATCACCAGGGAGCAGATGCTCAACACAGGAGCTGCCCCATGGTGATCTGTGCACTCCCACAGAGGGAGCAAAGCTCAGCTGACCAATGGGCGCCAGACACAGGGCTCACAGCTGGCTGCTGCAGCCCAGAGACCGCAGCAGAGTGGCAGCAAGCCTACCAACTCGTGGCGGCAGCAAGCGCAGCAGGGCCAGGATAAGCAGGAGCAGCAGGCGGCATTGGACTACCAGTTTTGGCCCCATCCCCACAGGCTACGCCGAGGGACCCCACTGGTTTAGGAATCCGTGCACCGGGCCTCTAGTATGCATATAAGGCCTTTGGTTAATCTCTCCCTCCCCTCCCGCTTTCCCTCTGAGATTTATCCATCTGTTCCATGTTTCCATGCCTGTGCGCTGAGCATCTGCCCCCTGGTGGTCAGCGCGCATCATAGCTACTGGTCAAACAGTCACTTAGGCTTTTATATATATAGATACCTGCAAGAGATCCCGAATTGCGAGAGGGCACAGGCCAGGCCGAGAGACCCCACTGGTGCACAATCGGGGCTGGGGAAGGACTGCGGGAGGTTGGCTAGCTGGGGAGGGACTGCAGGAGGGCTTCAGGGCGTGTCTGGCCTGTTTCGCCCAGTCCCGATCAGCTGGACACCGGCAGCAAGCTAACCCACCAGTTGGAGCATCTGCCCCCTGGTGGTCAATGCGTGTCATAGCTACCAGTCGAATAGTCACTTAAGGTTTTATATCCTACTAGAGGCCCAGTGCATGAAACTCGTGAACAGGTAGGATCGCTAGGTCTGGCCAGTGATCAGGGTCAATCTGTGGGGTGACCAGCAGGGCAATTGGGGAGCCCCTGCTGGCACCCGCCTTGGCTGGGTTGGGGCCTGCGGGCTGGGGGCAGCTCCTGCATTGAGTGTTTGCCCCCTGGTGGTCAGTGTGCATCATAGCGATCGGTTGTTCTGCCATTCAGTCAAGTTTCATGCACTGGGCCTCTAGTATATAGATAAGAATAATATGATAGCTGCATATATAACAGAAGTTGTTGGCCCAGAGCTTAGGAAGAATAATAATTGAGGGCTGAATCAACTTAGAGTAGGAGAACCCAGCTACATAAAGGCCAGATAACACTTGCTTCCTTGGAAGAAGTGTTGCTATCATAACAAATAGAACACATCACAGTCTCTCCTCAAGTGATTATTTACCTATTAATGATAAAAAGTCATTATTTATTAATTTGAAACTGGATACTGGTGCTAGTGGATGAAAGTGTTAGGAAAACCATGGATCAGCCAAGAAATGCAGTAAATGTAGATTTAAATTCATCAACACCATTAATCACAACAAAAAGCCTACTTAAAGTGCAACTATGTTCGGATTCAGTGTTCTATTTTTAAGCCTGGAGAGAAAAATCTCAAAGAAGCATGTTAGAAGAGCTCTCTGCTAGAATGAACTGCTAAGAAGCAACATTCTACAAACATCACAAAGGTTTTTAAAGTGGTAAGTTAATTCAGATGTCAATTAAGGCTTTAAGCCTTCAATAATTTCCAGAATCCAAAAAGCACATACCTAACATAGTTAAAAAGACACTCAAAATTTATAAACAAATTATTTAATCCTCAAAAAAATCAATACTCACAGATAATGATCAGGATCAAATTTGGCCACCTCAGCAGCCAGGCGTTTCTGCCTGCGTTCAGCTGCAGGAGTAAAATCTGGATCCTTAATATCAATGACGTCACTGAATTCATCCTAAAGACACCAAGAAAAAATAATTGCTATCTCTTATTTTAGCACTGGCAAGTCTAATTTTATACAAATTGTCAAAACACAGGAAGAATCTAATTGATCAGTAAGCCATGATACTACCTGTGACATTTTGATTCAAATCCAGCAAATGTTTGTTAAAAACCTACTACTTGCCAAGCAAAAATTATTTAATTCTTACAACAAACTTTTAAAGATATATTAAGGCTATATAAGCTTAAAAAAACAGAATGAAACAAAGCCTTGTAAGCTGGCAGAACATTTAATTCTCCATAAGTCCCCATTTACTATTAGAGATCTGAAAGTTTTATTAAAAACATCTATAATAATAAAAGCATAATATGCTAATTAGACTTGACACCCTTCTGGATGTCCTTCTAGCCCAGCGGTTCTCAACCTGTGGGTTGAGACCCCTTTGGGGGTCGAACGACCCTTTCATAGGGCTCTCCTAAGACCATCGGAAAACACATATATAATTACATATTGTTTTTGTGATTAATCACTACACTTTAATTATGTTCAACTTGTAACAATGAAATTGGGGGTCACCACAACATGAGGAACTGTATTAAAGGGTCGCAACATTAGGAAGGTTGAGAACCACTGTTCTAGACAAAGCTGGGGCTGTGAGGGAAGCCCCGGTCCCAGGTGCCTGCTGGCGGCTGGAAGGAAGCCTGGGTCTTAGGTGCCAAAGGGAAGCTGGTGCAGGCAGCCAGGGTAAGAAAGGCCTACTCTTGTACGAATTTCGTGCATTGGGCCTCTAGTCCTACATAATAAAAGGTTAATAAGCAAATTGACTAAACGTCGGGAAAAAACACTTGCTATGATGCGCACTGACCACCAGGGGAGCACCGCTCAGCCAGAAGCCAGGATTGCGGGTGGCAAGTGCAGCAGTAGTGGTGGGAGCCTTTCCCACGTCTGTGGCAGCGCTATGGATGTCCAACTGATGGTTCTGGCACACTCCCCGTGCCTAAGCCTTCAGTCGGACATCCCCCGAGGGCTCCCAGACTGTGAAAGGGCGCAGGCCAAGCTGAGAAACACCCCCCCCACCAAGTGCACAAATCCCGTGCACCAGGCCTCTAGTCTATATATATATAAAAGGCTAATATGCTAAGTGTCCGACCATCCGACTGGTTGCTATGATGCACACTGACCAACGGGGAAGACGTTCAATGCAGGAGCTACTGTGACATGCACTGGCACTACAGAACTGGCTCCCACAAAGCAAAACTTGGCTTCCCCCAAGTGGGACACAGGCCCTGCCACCACCCCAGAGCAACCCCCCACCAAATCGCAGCTAATGCTGCCGGGACCCCATGATGCAAAATGTGGCCCACAGCCCAGCCCAGCCAGGAAACAGTTGCTGTGGGTGCCAGGTAATGATGTAACATAGCAACGCCCGGCTTCCTCTCCCTCCTTGCTGTTTCTTCAGCCCAGGAACATGACCTGCTTTATAGTCAGATGCATACATTTCATACTTTAACCGAATGTCTGTGAATCATTTTCCTGTGCTTCGTCTCATTTGATCCTCACAAAAGTCCTGGAGTAGGTAGATAGGAAACTTGGTAAAATCCTGTTTTCTTTTCATTAGCCGGAACGGAGATTTAGAAAGTTTAAAAACTTGACCCAATTGGAAACAAGAAATGGTGGACCTTGAAAAAGACTTCAGGTTTTCTCACTGTGCAGAATATAGTCAAAAACTGCTGCAGTTAAGTATTTTACCCTTTGTTCTCCCTGCATGATCTACAAAAATAATCTGCTCCATGTTGATATTTACTGCTGTTTTGCTGAAAGAGAAGTTGAGGTGCTTCACTAGGCTGGAAAAAGTTTAGCTACATCTGAAAGCAGGTCTAATTAAGCAAGTTTATTTTATATATATAAAGGGCTAAGTTGACTCATGCATGCATGATGCATATAAAGCTCTCACTGGCGCCAATCGCACGCGTGTG